TTTTAGAAGTTATATGTGTTCATATGAAAAATTTAGTAATTGAAAATCTGCTGACCTTCACTCGGACAATATTCAGAGCAGAGGATACGGGGAATGTATTTAAGATCATGCTGGGATTCTTGTAGTGAATGTATTTTAATCTTTCTCGGTCAGGCAGCTGTATAACATTTATGTTTCTCAGTTCCAGTGCTGCATTTGAATTTGATACTCAATGTAGAAATTGTTCTAAACAGTCTTGCTTAATTGTATCCACAGTATGAATGCTTTATTTGAAATATGAAAATATCTCAAGGAAAATTCAGGAAAGATTTCTTGCAGTCTCATCACTTTTATGTAGCTAAACTTCCAGAGGATGTGAAGCCTGTAATTTCTGGTAATGTTGACTTTGTAGATAACATCTGAGGTGCTCTTTTTCATGCCAGGAGAAAGGCAACAACAATACTAATTATGAATATAAATTGACTTGTGAGTTTTTAGTCATGCAGTATGTCTTAAAATGTCATGTGCAGTAAACAACTTGGAGGAATAAATACCTATATTTAGATAGGCCTTGGGGATCTTTGTATTTAAATATAAAACTGACTTAAAGCACTTTATCTCTCATTGTATGCTACTGCTCTAGAGTAGCCAAAGCTGCAGAGATAATGGAAAACCGTTTATCATTACCATGAATATAGTTCCAGGAAGGAGGTATTTGTTAAAGAAAAGTAAGTGGTAGAAGAAGTGTATGCGTTTTTGGTGAGAACTTGTTTGTGACTGCGTGCTGAAAACATAAGATATGCTAAGATAATTGCTTTGCATGTGCCTTCAGTGTTGTAACTAATATTACAGTTGCCTGTTGGGGTGAAATGCAGGTGTTTCTTGCCCTTGCACCACAAGAGTAGGGGCATGTTGTTGTTCTTGGTAGGGAGCGCTCCGGGGTTGTGCCATGCCAGTGAGCGTGCCGCAGGAGGGAGCAGGGAGGTTTGCAGGGGTTGGGGAGGGGGAGAGGCTAACTGCATTCATGCAAAGGCACAAACGAGAAATGACCTTGTTCAGGGAGCGTGTTTCCTTGTGAGTAGGGACAAGTAGTAATTATCCTCCTTTCAGCGCTGAACTAACAAGTAATTACTGTTATTCCTTAATTAAAGTATGCAAATTGAAGATTTCTTTTTTTTTCCCCCCCTCCCTTCCCCAGACTGAGTTAAATACCGTTATTCACAACTCACAAAAGTCCTCAATATTATTTTGGTTCGTCATTGAAAAGGTTCAGTAAACAAAAGAACGCCTAACAAAAAAAGCAGTGAACCGGGCCAGATGTGGGTCAGGGCGCAAGACTTGCTCAGAGCGTGTGTTTCTGTGAGGGTCTGGGGGTACCTACAGTTACACAAACTGTTTGCAGCCTAAGTTTTGGTGAATGCACCTACCTGCTGGTGCTGCTGGGTATGGGAGAAATAAACTTGCTTTTTATAGTAAGTTTGTATCAAAGACAGAAATTTGTCAGAGGTTACAGGGCTTGCAAAGGCACTGGGTCAGCAATCTTGAGGGAGGCTGCTTCCCAGCTCTCCGTGCTCTCATTGATTCACTGGTGAATTTTTCACTGGGCAGCTGGTACAGACCTTAGGCAGCTGGCGCAAGAGTGAAGTTACTTTGCAGTGAAACGGCGGAGTAAAACTGGCCCAGAGCTCTGAAAAGCCAAATGCAGAGCTTGACAAGAGAAAAGAGGATGGGCACGCGGCTGTGGCAATGAACTGGGTTCAGCTGCTGCCTTTTCTGATGGTCTTGTGACTGCGGACGTCGTCTAAAATACCTCATCCTGATTTCAGCAGCGGGGGTGCTGCTGCCTGGTCTCAGAGAGGTTTCTGAAGATAAACTTGTGAAGCCTTGGGAGACCTTCAGATCCTGTGTGGTTGGGAAGGGCTATGGGTTTCTAACAGCTACCCGTAGCTGAGGCAGAAACTGAGGGCTGGGCAGAGCCGGGGCTTGTCCCTGGGCAATGACTTACACGGGCAGGGCACAGAGTTTGGTACAGGACTTGCCAGCTGAGGAAAGGAAGCTGCTTCCTGGTTTTGCACCACGCTGAAAACCCTGGTCCCGTGTGTCCTGCCTTTCTGCTGCGTTCACCAGCTGCCTATGTGAAACGGAGATGGGTTTTGAGCAGGCTTGGAGAGGTGTGGGGTCCTTGCCCTGGCGCTCTTGCAGGAGCACTGGGCTTTAGTGCCGTCTGCGTGCACCCCAAAAAACACATTTTGCTGGTCGGAGGCATAATGGGCAAAATCCTAGCAAAAACTCTCCACAGAGAAGCCAAATGACCAATTTACACCTGGCTGGGAAAGGAGTAAGAATGAAGTAAAATGTAACTTTTGAGGCTAGCAGTCAGGATGAAGCTCTGAGGACAAAACAGACCAAGATTTTCAAGTAGCAAATAGTTTGCTTGGTGTAATTTACACATACAGGAATAATGATTTGTGTTAAAAATGAAGGAACTTGAGTCATCCGTGTTGCATGCAATTAATTACCTGTGCATAGCAGGTGCCTGGGGTTTGCCAGGGTCAGTGGGAATACAGGTGGTAAAGAGCAAGCCCGTTTTAACTACTACTAATCCTTGGGGTTTTTTTAATAAGCAATGACATTGTCATTAAACAAGGAAATAAGAGGCTTTATTTTTCTAAGACATGTTAAGATCTCCCAATGCTTCTGGCTACAAGTATGTCTTATGAAAAACTACTTTTAACATTTATTCTGACTTCAGTTTCATTGACCTGAACTGTGTTTTATTTGTTTTTTGTATTACTGAGTCTGACAATGTTTGTGAAGCAAATATTACATATTAATGCCTTCAGGTTATCTGAAAGGCAGACCACTTATCAGTGAAACAGGAAGAAAAGAGCATGGAGTAATGGAATGTCACAGAAACCCTTTATTTTCCCCCTAAACGTGGCTAATCAGGTGTTTCTTTGTCATGTAATTTTAGTAAAATATCTTGGAGTAAGTTAGTGGAAGGGTATCCCTGTTATCTTGTTTATCCTGTGCATTTTTCAAGGGGGTTTACATCTGCACAGCAACATTGTGCTTTCTAACTGAATGTGAAAAATGATCCAAAGCTGATAACAAAATACATTCTTCCTTATCAAAAATGCATACTTTCTTATCACAAGCAATAGGAAGGCAAACATCTTTGTCCATACCTGTTTTGAAACAAGAGAACTTCACTGTGTTCTTCAGTTTTAAACATTTTCCTGGTTTATTGCTTTATATTTTATTTTGGAATTTGTACTTGATGTGGTTTATTCAAGAAGGTTAAGAAAATAGGCATCTATGCTGCAAAACCAGCACCTGGCACAAAGAAAGGCTGTAGATTTTCAGACTTCAAGGTAAAACCTGGGGTACAGAGGTGCCAAATTAGGTTTTTAATATAATGGCCAATTTCTGACCCATGTAATGAGCAAATTACTCTCAGTATTAATCTCATGCATTACCTTGAGGGCAGTACTTCTCCTTAAAAGAAAGCTAATACCATCATCACTGAAATGGCAGTGTTAATTACTCATGCACAAATAAAACCTTATGCATTCAAGATAGGCCAACTAAACGAAAAATTCTTCTCTGGGCTTTTTTTTGTCTGTTTGTTTGCTTTGGATAGTTTTGTGTTTGTTTTTTTGTTGTTGTTGGGTTTTTTTTTAAATAAAAAGTAGTGTTTGATTTTGAAAAATGAGAGAGTGGCTTTCTGCTTTGAATGAAATCTGTCCCCCTACCCCACCCCGACAAACTGCAGCAGGAGCAGCGTCCGGGAGGTTTCTGCTTGCAGTTGCATAGCCGGTCTGCCTCAGTTTAAGAAGGGCCACCTTAAAGGTTGGGCGGGTTTAATTTGCAGCTTACTGGCTTTATGGTTTCTTTACTGAAACTGCTGTCTAGAGCTGTAATTGCCGGTATGATCTTTTAAAAATAAGGTTGTCGCTGGAGTAATATAAAGACTAAGCTACCACTGTGTGGGTAGCTTCAGTATTGCTTTTCTTCCTAAATTGTCACAAGCTTCCCTTTTTCACAGGACAGACATTCTGAAATTCTTTGAGTTTGAGGCAAGATTTTTTGGTTGGGTGCTTCTTAGTGAAACAAAACCTTGAGGTATTGAATTTACCTGCAGCTGCTTTTGCAGATTCTTGTGGTGCATCGCACACAACTTGGCCAGAGAGAAATCTACATTGCATCGTGGACAGTGTTTGCAGGGCATTTCAGCAATAAAAAGAAAGTAGAATTGAAATGCTGACAGGAAGACAGACATTTTATGTTGTTGTTGCACTGATTTGAAGAACAACTCCGGGTCAGTTCAACAGGGGGTAATATTCTGGCTTGAGCTGAACAGTTTTAGAATGACTTATTTTCCCAGTAGAAAACTGAATTATTTGGCAGCACTCTTTTTGTGGGAACTCTTTTTTCAGAAGCTACATTATTTTCATTGGGAAATCATTCCAGTTTTAGTGTTTTTGTACAAGCCACAGAGCTGGTAATTGATAACTGCTTTTAGTTTTTACTTGACTGTTGGCCTTACAGTATTCAAAACGAAAGATACTGTCTGGTATCACTGTGTGATTCTTGAGTTTTCCAAAGCCTCCAAACCAGGGTCAGTGCTCAGCTTGGAGATAGCAGGGACTGCTCCCGACAGAGGTTTTTTTTAACCTTAGGGAAAATCTTTGAGTCTTATTTCTCTCCTGTGCTGAGCCTGGGCAGTGCATGCGCTAGCACCAAGCCCAGTACACTGGCACAAGAAGGACGTGCCGGAGACATATATGTGAGCAGGAGGTCTGCCGTGCCTGTTTTGTAGCCCGCCAGTGGGGCATTCCCACCACTTGAAAAGCATTAGAACCACAGTGACACCCAAATTGTGTTGTTCTGGTTGTCTTTAGTTTATAATAGAGTTGTTGCAATTTTGTATGCAAAAAGCTTTAAAAGTACCTGTTGTCAACTTTTGTGTTATGTGCAACAGCCACAGTAAACCCACTTCTCCTGTTTATTTTTTTTAGATGACTTCCACTTACCTCTTGATGTTTTACCAGCTGTGACGGAGGCCCTTGATTCCAAGACAAAAGAGGAAGATTTGCACAAGGAGAGCAGACCTTTCCGCTACTGTGAAAAAAAAACCATGGACCTGTCAGACAGTGACCGTCCCGTCAGCTTTAGCTCCACTTCCTCCTCTGCTTCCTCCAGGGACAGCCACTGCTCCTTTGGAAGCAGAATGACCTTGGTTTCAAACAGCCACTTGGGCTTGTTCAACCAGGATAAAGAAACGGGTGCCATCAAGCTAGAACTGGTCCCAGCCAGGCGATTTTCCAGCAACAAGCCACGCAAAAACTCCCCTGCAGATCAAGAGGATCCTGAGGAGAGCCTTGAAAAAAGACTAAGCATGCCAAGGAAAGCAGAACCAAAAGGAGCGAGCAAAAACTGTGCAATGTCCCTGGTCACAGAGCCCACCAGTCCCAAGCTCCTCTACGTAGACAGAGTCGTCCAAGAGATTCTGGAGACAGAGAGGATGTATGTGCAGGATCTAAAAAGCATTGTCAAGGTAGGAGTCTTGGTTAGGATGCTATTAACTGTTCCATAATGCTGTTTTTTACATTGTTTGGTTTCATGGCAGGACAGATGGACCTGACAATAGAATTGGCATTTGCTAGTCGTTATAAATTAGTGTAATAACATTGTTCCTGTGTGTTTCTAGTTTTTATTTGATTAGATAAATCTAAGCTGTTACTACATGTTTATGAAGAAATAACAGAAAAAAAAACATCCTACAGTTGACAGCAGTAGTGAACAAAGTGGTAAACTCTGTGTTTATTTACAAAAAAAAATGTACAATGCTCTGTTTCCTAGAATGTATAGCAAGAAGAAACAACCAGACAGCTTGTTTGCCCCTTTAAATGCCTTACCTGAAGGATATCACTTATTGATTCTTCCCCCCCACCAAATCCTAGTCCTGCAAGCTCTTTCCTGCCTTTTTTTTCCTCCCTTTCATGGCTTGTGGCTATAGTCTGTTCACTCCATGTCCTTGGCTTGTAGTACCGAATATGGCATGTGTATTTGCTGGGAAATACTCATGTTTGGCTGTTATGTGAAGAAATTACATTTTCTTTAATACTAATTCTGAATTGGTGGTGCTAATAAATGGGTATAGCATTTATTAGCAGCAGTGAGTTTTTGTCCAATCCCCAGCCTAACAGTATCTTTCATTTCCCCTTTGGATGAGTCCTTCTGTGGATTGTTCTGCTCACTCCACGTACTGCAACTGTGCCATCAGCGCCATGTTCTGTTGTGTTTTTGAAGATGACAATTAAGTCCCTTGGCTATTGTATGTAGTCTATGTCCTTAACCCACAAAGAAGGATTCCTTGGGAGGTGCATGTTCAATGTGCTGTTTATAGAATATATAGCTTTAGGTAGCTGTATGAGGTCATCTGCAAAAGGAAATATCAGTCAGCTGGAGACACTCTCCCCACCTGCAGTTCCAACCTGCCTGGTCCTGCAAGCAATGAACAGGAAAAAATGCTAAGACTTTGATAACGCAAATGCACATCACAATTAAACACTAGCACCCCACCCCCCAAAATTCTCACAAAGAAGTTTTCTTGTGCTGCTGCTGTTTCATTACATTCAACTGTGCCTAAGTTTCATTTTGGAGTGTTTAAGGTTGTCATATGCTACAGAAGCAAGCCAGCTTCTGTGTGTAGTCACTGCTCACTAGGCATGACCTCCATGGTTTTGGAAACCGTAGCCCTCACTTGTCCTCGTAAACTGTACAACCTGAGAAACTGGAAACTATCATTAAAATCTTGAAACAGATTTTCCATTGACAAGTAGGAAGGCCAACAAATGCTTGCTAGAAATACTTCAAGCATCACTACAGTAGATGTAGAGTAAATGAGCAAATGCACTTGAAGTTATGAAAGAACTGGAGCAATTTACCTGTGAAATGCCCAAGCGTATTTTCTGCAGCAACCAATAAATAATGAATCTGGAAAGCTTTGTGTGGCACTAGACAGCCTGTTTGAGAGAGAGAGTGGTTGGCAGTGGGGCTTTTCTTAGGCAGGTGTTGCAGATCCAAGGGCTTCAAAGGAGCCCTTCTCAGATGGTGAGGACAGTGGGGAACCAGGTACCTCAGCCTGTGCAGCATGTTCTTTGCTTGGTTTCAGGGGAGGGAGGTGTGACTGGAAGCATGTTACAGAGGAGACCATTTTATATGTTTCTCAGGATTCCTTTCTCCACAACTACCTTAGCAATGCTGTAGTGATTTGCCTAACCAAGGGTGGGGGTTGTGAGAAGGATGGGAAGACTCCACAGACATCTGTAGGACTGCTGTAGCCTTACAGGATTTGATTATCTGGGCCTCTGTGACTTGAGGCCATTTAGTGTGGCAGCCAGATGACTGGTGCTGAGCCAAACTAAGATGAAGGGAAGCAGCTTGGTCTGTCTTATTTTCCAGATAAACATGGGTCAGATTTTGGCAGCTGGTTAGGAAATGGGATGAGAATGGGAAAAGGGGAGCTGGGGAAAAGTCAGAAGACGACTGCTGCCCGAGAAGTGTGTGGGAACTGAAGAGATGCATGAAGGTGGGAGCTGGTGGAGGAAAGCATAAGCAAATGAACCAGTGCTAAGTGGAGAGAGAAAATCCTTAGAGGGAAAATAATGTGAGGAAATGAGAGAAAACCCAGGAAGTGGAAGGTTGAAGGGAGTATGAAATTGTTGGAACTGGAGCTCTCTAGCAATTTTTGCAGCTGACTGCAATACAGCAGCTTATGTACACAGACTAAAAATAGTAAGGAAGTTTTTTTTGTTTGGGGTGGGGTTTTTTTTGGCAGGGGGAGAGAGGGAGGAAGAGAAGCAGCGCAACCCAGGTACAAAGAGCTAAAAGCTGAAGAGATGTCAGATTGAGGATGGTATAAGAACAAAAAGGGAGCAATGAATAGGTACTATTTTAACCACCCTCTACCCCCAGCTGAGAACTGTCAGTACAGATCTAGTCTATTGCTTTTTGTCCCCTGGGATTTGCTGATGCTACCTTCTCCATAGACAATAGAAATATATTTAAAAAGAACATGTTTTCACTGTTGTTTCCAGCACCTTGAAACAGGTTCTAGAGCTAGAACTGAGAGGGTGTCAAAACTCACATCCATGAATCCACTCTAAATTTCTGGTGTAACGCAAAGCATATTTGCCTGTGATGCAGGGTCAAGCTTCTTGGGGGGGGGTTGAGGGATTTTTTTGTTTGGTTGGTTTTAGTTTTTTGTAGGGTTTTTTTGTTGGTTTTGTTTCCTCCCTGTTTTGCACTGTCTGCGGACTTGCTATATCCCCGTTCTTTCCCATCATCCAGATCATTAATGAATATGTTAAACAGGACTGGACACAATATTAACCCCTTGGGTATGCTGCTAGTTACTGGCCTCCAACTAGATTTTGTGCCTTTGACCACCACCCTCAGGGCCTGTCCATTCAGCAAGTTTTCAGTCAACCTTGCTGTCTACTTATCCAACCCATACTTCATCAGCTTGTCTATGTGGATCTTATGGGAGACTGTGTCAAAAGCCTTTCTGAAGTCAAGGTAGACAATATCCACTGCTCTCCACTCATCTACCAAGCCAGTCATTTCACCATAGAAGGTTATCAGGCTGGTCAACTTCCCCTTGGTGAATCCATGCTGATTATTCTTGATTAGCTTCTTGTCCTTCATGTGCCTGGAACTGGTTTCCAGGATTAGCTGTATATAAATGACCCCTTAACATGGATGGTGTGAAATTGCATGTAGGATCCTGGTACTATTCATCTTATCCAAAGTCAGCTCACTAAGAGTTAGCCTAGCATACTATTTGGGGCAGTGTCCTTTCAACCTCTGTTACCCTTAGAACACATACAGTCATCATGCTTGACATAAAAGACTGTGGAGCGAGTGGGGGAAAACAGAATTTCACCCTTTTTGATGCCTTTATTGGCCTAATGCTGTTAGGTCATTAATAAGTAAATAAATAAAAATAAACTGAAAAGGCATAACTTCTATTGCCTTTTGAGTATCTGGGTGGTCTTTGTTCTTAACAGCACCAAGTTGGTAGACACAGGTAGAAATCAACTTCATGTGACATGGCTAATGTGATCTTTAACTGATACTGGAGACCTGCTGAGGTTCTTCAGCTTTCTTTTAAACTGCTGATAAGGAGTATTTCATGGGCTTAGGATGAGTGAGAGGAGGCTGTACAGGCACTATTTGGCTCCCTTTGCCCCAGGATATGCTTTAAAAACAACTGCTTTTCTAGCCAGTACAGCCATTTTGTCTGTGACCTGGAAGAACAGTTGAATTATGATTGTTTTGAGGCATGCTGCTGTGATTCTTGCACAGGCAAGCACTGTAACAAAGATAGAGCGAACTTTTCCATTGTTTGGTATGTTTTATCAGATGATCTGTTAAGCATAATTAAAATTTTGAGTTAGTACAGCTCGAAGCGTGTTTAGGGCAAGTTTGTGATGAGAAATCGGATACCTCTGCTTCCTGCTTGTGTCATGCAGACAGGTGTACTGGCCAGGGCAGAACCTGCAGATCTTCTCCTCTCCAGGACCTAGCCTGACTTCTTCAAGTAGTAATTTAGCTAGAATAGGCATAAACTTTAATTAGAGTCACTTACTGAAGTAAGTTTTCTTTTTTTTTCCTGAGTTTATAATGAAAATGTGTTTTGCTCTTGCAGTTCATAGGAGCCAGAAGCCCATATTCATAATTTGTACAAATGTTTGTAACTGTAGAAAAGGACATCCACATTTGTGTCTTACCTTTGCAAAATAAAGGCATAATGCAAATGTACTGTTATAGTGCATGCATCTGTTATCTTACATTAAATACAGTCTCATAGTGGTATCAGCCCATTGAGAACATCTAGATCCACTGTGTGAAACTGAGACATTTGGTATAGGAACTCCTATCAGCAAAATAATATCAATAAGAAGTCATTAGCATCTATACAGTAACTAGAAGGGAGTGAAGCGTGCATTGTCAGTGCATTTCACAAATATTTTATGCAAATAGAGGTTGAGCTTCAGGAATCGAACTCCATCTGAAATCTGGGAGACTTCTTTTATGTGAATGAGTTCCTCTACCCTTTCACTCCAAACATGACATTTTTTTAAACCATCCCTATTGGACTAGTTGAAGTCTCTGTCTTGTCTCCTCTCCCGATCTTTTGCCCACTCTTTTTATACTTAAGACTCCTCATTCAAGGCTTTTTACCCAGAAAGTCCCATTCTCCTTTGCACAGTCTTCTGCCTATGGTCTTCCCACCCATCTGTCCAAAGTGTTCTCTCAGTAAATCCCACCCTCATCCCCCATCAGGCCATATTGTCTCATTTCCTCATGTGATAGATCACTTTTTAGTCTCTCTCTTTCCCATGTTCTTAGTCTCTGCTAGCTCCAGATCTCTCTCCATAGTTCTCTTGGCAGGTCTGACAACATTTTCATCACCATTCCTCATTTTTCTGACCTCTTAAGTTCTGCTAACACTCTCTTCTGGTGTTCATCATGCTTTGTTCTCGTTTT